GGTGATCAAGCAGACACAGGTAGTAACAGATGCTCCAAATGCAGCAGCTATCAGTCAGGGACATCCAACACACTGAGCATGCACCAGGTTCAGAATCACACTCGTATTTCAACCAGGTGGTTGAGACTGAACTACTGCAGTATATACACAGAGATATACATGCCTAAGGAGCAGCTGGAAGGACACTGAGAGAAGATGGCTAAGTTTCGCCTTGATCAAGACACATGGAATTGATGTCCGCTACAGCAATAAAGGGACACGGGTGGCGCTGTGGGTTAAACCACAGAGCCTAGGACTTGCCGATCAGGTCGGCGGTTTGAATCCCCGCAACGGGGTGAGCTCCCGTTGCTCGGTCCCTGCTCCTGCCCACCTAGCAGTTTGAGAGCACGTCAACGTGCAAGTAGATAAATAGGTACCGCTCTGGCGGAAAGGTAAGCGGCATTTCCGTGTGCTGCTCTGGTTTGCCAGAAGTGGCTTAGTCATGCTGGCCACATGACCCAGAAGCTGTACGCCTGCTCCCTCGGCCAATAAAGGGAGATGAGCGCCGCAACCCCAGAGTCGGTCACGACTGGACCTAATGGTCAGGAGTCCCTTTACCTTTACCGCAATAAAGTTGTATCTCATCACATGTGTTTTACTGGATGAGAATGACTTCCATTGACAAATAAATGGTGGTAGGTATGAACACTGGATAAAACTGTTAGATCTAATTGCATCTTATGTGCTAAATGAACCATCACAATGGCTCTAATGAGCAAAGTAAGTGATTGTTCCTCTTCAAGTTTGGAATATTTTCCTTGGCACAGCAGCATGCTTCAGACTGAACCGATGCTCTGTTCCAGCTCCTTACTTCTCATTCTATAATCAGATAGTTTTACTGACATATTAGAAGCCTTTCTTTGCTTATAAGTGCTTATATTTATTATAGTGATATTGCCAGTTTTCAATTCCAAATCAAACTGAGGAATTAATCCATCACTATTTCACCATGTCTTGTAGATTCATTTCAGACTATAACTGCTATTGCTATCAGTATTACACTGTTGTCTGTGGAATGGATACATACAAAAAATAATGGTGTTAAAACATGGAATAAGTGGCTCAGCTTAAAACTCACTTGTGTGCAATCCAAGCAAAGTTAAGTACTTTTAAGTCTCACTGATTTCAGTGGGAGAGATTTAAGCACACATTTAATTCTCCTGTTGAAATTAATGGGACAAAGTACTTAGTTTCAGCTGGAGTGTGTTCTTAGTGTTTACAAAGTTCAGCAATCAAAAGGAAAGCCACATATTTCAAAAGCATCTGCTTACCTCTCTGAAGTTTCACCCAGGTAAGATACTTAATAGTCACTATAAAATTGCTCTAATCCAGAAATTTAAGCTTATTCAGGCAATGATTCACAGTAAAAATAATCAGAAACAGATTTTGTATTTGTAATAACTAGCAAGTGGTATTAAGTTCACATTAATTTATTTAAAACTGTTATAGCACATCTACATGAATTGGTTTCTAAGCATACTATTACGTTTGCAAGGCTCCAACTCTTAAATTCATGATGAAGTTTATTTCCTATATGATCTGTGCTTCTTTAATTATCCAAGACTTGTTTTTCATTTCAAACATTTTTTGAACTATTTTACATCCAGGGCTGACCTGTAGATTAAATTTGTTGTGAACTTTGATGAAAAAAATATTGAACATAATTCTGCCTTTCTTCTTGTTGCCTTTAAAGTCTTAATTCTGACACAGGGAAGCTTAAATTCATACTTCTATAGTATGAATTTTTGAGACAATGATGATAGATTAATTACACACCTTAATAAAAATCCCTTTAGCCAATGCCCACCTCCTGTTTAGATAGTCACACAATGAAGTACACCTTCCCCAAATATTTGCATAAAGAAAGCAGATTCTGAGGGACAGGCAGTACAAATATGCCATATTAGTGATAATCTATACCTACAACCACTGAAAGGAATATACATAGAATAAGAGTATAAAAATTAAATTGTGACACGATCAAAGGTTAATTGAAAATAAACAAAAATGATGCCAAGTTTCTGTTTGGGCCCACTTTGGCTGGCTAGGGCTAAGCCAGAAGATAGGTAGGTTTTAATTTTAATCTTTTATAAATATTGTAACACACTGGGCCCACAGGATGGAGCATACTAGAAATTTGAACCAGATTGACTTGTTGCTAGCTGGTGCCCTTTTAAGCTTTAAATGACAGGATAGAATAGGTTGATTCAATGGCCAAAGCAGATCCTTAATACTACTAGCTCAAGAATGACTTATCGACCACCCAGCAGGAGAAAAAAGCCTAGCTGATCACGTCTTAGCTCATTAACTCTAAAGGTCTCACTTAATTCTACTGTTGCTAACCAAGAAACCAAATTTAGAATTCATCTTCTAGCCTCAAAAAAGTTATCTCACCACTATGGAAAAAGATTAAAAGGAAAACCACTTATTTCCCCCCTAGAATTAACAGTTTCTTCCAAGGTTGATTCCTACCATAGGTCTTATATTTTGAGCATGAACAATCTTTATTTACCATTAAAAGCAAGCTAACCACACATACACCATCCTATTACCCAGCCTAGAGAAGTCTAACAGCAATTCAGAAAGACATAAGCAAAACAACTGTTTTGCATTTATGTATCTTTAATATTTAACAGCTGCCTTTCCACTCATTGCTACTTAAGGCGATTAAACATTAAAAATACAATATAAATAACACACCAATAAAACCACCACTCTAATACAACACAAACCATGTATGTATATGACCTATTAAGCATTTTAAGTCACTGACATCAATTAGATTTAAGCCTATGTGCTGATGTCTGTCCCACTGCAAACAATGCAACTTAGAAGTGCTTAACTTTGACCAGCGGAATATAGGAAATAGCCTTATATCGTGCTAATTGGTCTATCTTGCTGGCAACAACTCATCAGAGTTTCAGCCCTATTTGGAGGCACCAGGGGCTAAATCTAGGGCCTTTACATGAAACACACATGCCCTAACATTGAGCTACTGATGTTCCCCTTTGGTTGGCTTATGGCTGAACTCTGCTCCGTAACCTTAGTGACATTAGACGAGCAATATGTTAGCAATGATAGAATCATGTTTTCAGGTCACCTGCTTCAGATAAGAACTCTTAAGTGATCAGTGCCTGTTGAAAACCTTTCTCTTCCACAAGCCTTCCGAGTATGTACATCTACAGCCTGCATAGTGATACAGTTATCAGTGTTCTTGTTTAAGTGCAAGTGATTACAGTATTATTTATGCTTAACTGGATTTTTATGCTTTATTGTTGTTTACATTGTTACCCACTCAGATAATTTACGATGAAGGGCAGGAAATATATTCAACAAATGGTTTGCAATCTTTTTAAAAACAAACAAACACGTTGACTAACAAGCCTTTTTTAACAGTGTTTACTGCAGAAAATGTTTCTAGGGGCAACACTACTGTTGTTTTCTTCAGTTCAAACTACAGTATTTGAACAAGATTATATATTTTGCATTTGATAACCAGACATTGCATATTATTTAATATACTATAGCCTTTAAGTGGTTTTTTATTTTTAATTAAAAAGAAAGTGATCTCATATAATCCTCACCTGCATTTACATTTGAGAATACAACTTCCTCTGTAGAACAGGAAGTGAGAAATCTGAAGCTCACTGGCTCCAAAATTTGTGGAACTCTTTCTGTGTTCCTTTTATACTAAGGTTCAACTACTTAATTCAACTTAGCATTTTCAAATTGAATTGTCAACATATGTTGTCATCTCAACTGCAGCAATCAACACAGCACCACAGAGATGGCATATTTCAGATATTTTTCCCCCTTTTCTAAAATCCTACAAAAGTTCTCTGAAATATTGGCTGAAAAACCACAAAATATATCACTTACTGTTCAGCAAAAGCAAAAACATCTCTTCTCTTTTCTACTCTTGCTGGGCAATATGCTAATATACATTGCCATATGTCCTATATACAGTTCCAACTTTCTTTCAAGATTGACCAAAACAAAGAAATTGTGATGGGTGGGGTGCAGACTCAGAGCTTGGTGTTTTAATACTTATTACAGTCCCGAGATACATTCACAGAGACAAGACAGCTTTATCTACAAAAATACTTCAAAAACCCCACTTTCCCGATCAGAGGTTCCAAATGGTATCGCAACATTAACCCACCCAGCACGTAATTCGGAATAGATAGCGTGTTGCCGGTACACAAGGTAATCCTTCCTGCAAACGCCCTCCATGCCGGCAGGGACTAATGGCTTTACAAGGCCAACTCCCCAAACATGGGACTTCCAGCAGGTTGCGAAAAGGGGGCCGGATTAAGCACAGGACACACTGAAATAGAACGTGTGTGAGCCAACAATGGAAATAGCTGCACCTAAAGGAAACCCAAGAGACAGGGATGGCAAAAGGGGTCCTTTGAGGAAGCAGCCCAAGACGCGGGTTACACACAAACTGCAAATACCTGAGGATTAACGCAAAAGAGCGTAAAAGGGGGAGGGGGGAGAGAATAAATGTCAACAAACAAGACTGCCTCTTCAGTTTCTACTCAGGCACGTACACAGAGAGAGACAGGAGATATAAACAGGCAGGAAGAGAAAGCACGGAGGAAAGGCGGGGGTGGGAAAGGTCTCGAGAAGTAACCAGCCAGACACGGAGACAAAAGTTCACACACACACACACACACACACACACAGGGGAGGGGGGAGGAGGAAGAGGCTGAGGAAGACAACATGTAAGAGGAGCAGCGCCACCTTCTCCCCGGCACACTCCCCGCAACCAGACGCCTCAGGAAAGGGGTCTCGGCTCCCACAAGAGCCCAACGCACACACGGGAGAAGGGCAGGGCGACTAACTTTGGGGGCCAACTTCCAACGCGCCTCCCCCCGCCCGCCTCTCTCTCTCTCTCTCTCTCTCGGAGGAGACCTGTTGAGCGGCTTCAGGGCTAAGTCAGAAAAAGGGCGTCTCACCTTCGCGTTCCTACTGAAAGCAGCACCGGACGGGGCTCAGCCTAAATCGGGAGAGGGAGGAGGCGCGCGCCCGGCAGCTCCGCTTCTTCACTTGAGGCCCCTCAGAATAACAGACGCGGGCCGGAGACAGGCAGCGAGACACAGCCCTCCCAATTCACCCCGCGCGCAGCCGCCCAGGGAGGAAGGCAGAGCCGAGCACCACAACTTCGGCCGCCGCCGCCGCCCCGCCTCCTGTGCCAGATCCCCAGCAACGAAACCGACTTCCCACGCTGCGCGCATGTGCGCACCAGTTTCTCCCTCTCTCTCTCCTCCTCCCCTCCCCCCCCACCATCTCGCCTCTCTCTCCCCCGCCCCATCCTCAAGCCCCTCCTCGCGAGGGTAGGGGCGAGCTCCTGGAAACGTGCGCCTGCCCTCTGCTGCCGAGTGTTCTCCAGACGTCACGGTAGCTGAGCGCGAGCGAGTTTCTTCTCGCGCTCCCTCACGCGCCACTACCTCGCGCGAATTCCTCTCCCCAGCTCCGCGTCTCCTGATCACCTCCAACCGCAGCTTGCCAGAACCGTCGAAAATGCCTTTGACCGTGTGAGGGAAAGGATGGCGGGTGGTCGTGAGAACTCTTGAGGGGAAGGAAGGCAGGGTTGGCGCTGCCCCTGCCCACTCCGCTTATAACAGCCTCTCTGTAGGTAGAAATGGAGCAGGTGAAGTTTCTCAACCCTGGGTTAAGTTTCTCTCATGCGTTTACGTGGCGGGCCGCGTTCAGATGATTATAAACCATTTTGTGAATAATAAGCAGCCCTTTAGTTCATTAATTAAGTTAAATGTAAATGCAAGCTAACTTATAATTAACAAAAGGTGTTAGCTCATTTGTAAAAAGCCCAAGACCACATGTTGGCCTTTTTATTTAACAAAACCCACTTGACGGTAGTACAATTTACACAAAGCAACACCAAAATAATAATAATAATAATAATAATAATAATAATAATAATTTATACCCCGCCCACTCTGGGCGGCTCCCAATCAAGTGTTAAAAACAATACAGCATTAAATATCAAAAACTTCCCTAAATAAAACGTTTCATTTATCAATAAAATATGATTAAAACAGATTAAAAACATTTCAAAGGGTAATTAAAATCAACAATACACTAAAAATTATAAGATACCAATCAAATCAATAGTTAAGAATGGAGTGGAAGTATTTCGAAGATTATATGTCAAAATATTATTCTAAAAATGACATGCTAATAGGCTTAGAATAAAAAATGTATTTCAATAAAGAAAGAAGGAAAAATCAGAATTTAACAGAAATAATTTATTATAGAACGCAAGGAAAAAAAGGTAGAAATAAATATAAAGAAGTCGAATTGCTGTGGAGGGAAGTAGAGGGTGGGCGGTGGGTTTTATAATTAAGTGTATAATTATGCAGCTGTTATTATGTATATATGTTAAGTTTCAATAAAGATCTTTGGGGGGGGAACTACTCTCAGACTATTCAAGGAAACCCCCCCAAAACCCCAATTCGCTAAAAACAAACTAAAACACATGTAAGTTCTACATGTCTGAATAGGCCTGCCTAAACAAAAATATTTTAAGCAGGTATCAAAAAGTATAATAAAGGTGCCTGCCTGATACTGATAGTGAGTTCCAAAGTGTTGGTGCTTTTCTTTTGAGAATTTCTTTCACGATAATAAGCATGCACCAGAGCCAAACAGCAGTTAAAATAAATTTGTGCCATCACCTCACTAGCCCATGAACAAAATTTGCCCTTAAACACTTCCTTCTCACCTTATGCTGCATAAACCCACTCCACTAACATAAGAGATTGGGCTGGGGGCGGCAAGCAGATACACCTGGCCTTTGTCACCTGAAATGTATATTTTCATATCACAGTGTAGTTTACAATATAAAAACACAAAAACAGCAGGAAAGTGAAGAGGGGATTGTGAATCAACTAAAAGGAAAGTGGGAACCAGTAGATTCCCCCTGAAGAATGGGCTGTTTGGCTGCACATTTGATTACACTTGGAAATAAGGTCCCCTGTAAATATTCCCAAATAAATTGATTATAAGGACTATTCCCCACCCCTTTGGAGCTGAATTGGCCCTGTATTCCTTCCGAATACTTAAGCCGGGAAGCAGAGTGATCATGCCTGTTATGAAAAGGTCCAAAGTTAATACAGTGGTACCTCGGGTTAAGAACTTAATTTGTTCTGGAGGTCCGTTCTTAACCTGAAACTGTTCTTAACCTGAAGCACCACTTTAGCTAATGGGGCCTCCCACTGCTGCCGTGCTGTTGGAGCACGATTTCTGTTCTCATCCTGAAGCAAAGTTCTTAACCCGAGGTACTATTTCTGGGTTAGCTGAGTCTGTAACCTGAAGCATATGTAACCTGAAGCGTATGTAACCCAAGGTACCACTGTAATAACATCTGCCTCTTCCTGAGTGCTGTCCCTTTGAGGTATACCTCCTCTCAGGGAATTGCATCAGGCATCGGTCCAGATTTCTTTTAAAACTAAGCTACATTCTTATTTCCAGAAGCAACATCTCCATGTGAAATGTTCACCTATTAATACTTGGAGATAACACTCAAAACATAACTATTGGTAAGTAACCTCTATTTCTTTCTTGAAATAAAGCAATAGAAAAAGTAACCTGAACTGAAATATTTAAACCTTGGACTTTTTCTGGAAATAATACAATAAAACAATGAGATTGATCTGATGCAATCTCTAATTTCCTATTGGAGTATACCCTGGGGGTGGTTAGAAAGTAAATTATTGTGCACAGCAGAAGCACTGGCAAAATTCTAGTACACCACCTAATGTGTATTGAGTGCTGGAATTCTTTCAAAGAACTTTGGACTAGGTGAATTTAATGTAGGAAGGCATTTTTATGTTCTTAATCAAGACTGCACCGCAAGTTCTTAGATAATTAAGACATAACTTAAGAGATGCCAAGTATGCACTCTTGCTTTGCATATTTAACAGGTAGTGGTGTTCTTTGAGAATCATAGGTTGAATAGAAAGGGTAAACAATGCAGAGCTGAAATATTTGGAAACTTCTTAGACTAAAAATTATATAAAAATGAAACAGACAGGTAGCAAAATAAGTACCCAAATACAATAGTAAGTGTCTTATCTTACAACCAGTTAATAGTTTAGCAATCCAAAGTGACTTTTATATTTTTAGTGCTGCTATTTTTGGATACTAACCTGTTGAATATTTATGTTACTCTGTGATGTCTTAGGGTATTTAGAAAAGCAGATCAGGTGTCAGTTGCATGTTTTATATTACATTTTAAAGCAATTTCTACTATCAGGCTGGAAAGTTTCCTCTATTTAGGGGGAAAACACAATTAAGAAAAACATTTAGTTTTTAAGGTCCTTCAGATATGTAACTCAAAAGTTGATACGTGCAAATAAATAAATAGGAATGTGGAATTGTAAAAAAACCAAAAAACCCTGTGCCATGATGTCACACTTTAGGATGTGTGGACATAATTTTACTGTTAATGTGGAATTCCTTTTAAGATGCAGTATGGTGTTGTACAAGGCCATAATCAGTAACAATATTCCAATGGATGAACCATGAGCTCAGCTGAATATTTGTTTGATGCTACTCTTGCCGGTCCCATTGTCCAATAAACGAGTCCCTCTTCAGCTTTATAATCAGTTTCTCTCTTTGATAGTAGTAACAGCTATGAAGGCAGCAGAACATATGGTTCTGAGCATACCCGTTGCCCCACTGAAGCATATTATTGCACACCATCCCAATTTCAGAGCAGTACAAGATTACTGTACTGGAGTTCTAGGCACTCAATGGGGGTTTCTGTTTCCTTTTGGAAATGAGGCACAGTGGAGACTTGTATTTATAATATGTGGCTTATTTACACATATTTACAACCTGTACCTGCGATGGAGGGGTTCACAACATCATCACCCCAAAAAGGTCTTGCTTCTTCCTTAGTCATAGCCTTGGATTCAAACAGAAATCAAACACTGTGTTCTGACCCTCCCCTCAGCTTTCCAGCTTGTTTCTTTCCTTCTAAGTGAAGTTATTGCTTCCTAACCTCTCTGTTTTAAACTCTGGCTTTATTTGTTGAGGGAGAGGGGCCCACCCATTTGCTGTCTCACACTTGAGCCCTCAATCCTTTGTTCTCCTAATGGCCCAGGCAATTACCTTATCAGGAACCTAGCCTGGCTTATTTTTTAAACACCTGCTGGACCTTGGGGTTCAGTAGGCTTGATTAGATTTCAACACATATTGGTTCTGGGGATTAAAAGGGTCCAGCACCCACAAACTTCTAATAATATTACTTGAGCAGCTCCATTTTCAGTTACCTTTTTATTGGTAAGAATTCTCAGAAGATAACCATGTTAGTTTGCTATGGCAAAAACAACAATGAAGAGCCATGTGGTACAGTAAGTCAAGTCCCAAGCAAGGTGGAGAGCTTAAAGGTTTTTTCCACACCATGTATGCTTGGGATTACCCAGTGTGAAAAACTCCTTTAAGTCGTTGCTTTGCTTGCTGAGCAAGGCTTGCCCACAACACTGGCTTTGGGATACTCTCACCAGATTTTGCGGTACAATCAGAGTTCCCTTGAGATCTTGTGTGAGCATCCCTAGCCCTCTAGAGCCAACATTGTGAGTGGGCTTTGCCTCTCAAGCAAGGCTGAGAGCTTAAAACCCCTTTTTGTACTGGGTAACCCAAGTTGACCTGGGACTCATCTACACATTTTAAAAATGAGTTTAAAAATGGTTATGATAATCCTATAGCCATATGACATTCTTTTAAAACGTCAATACAGTGGTACCTCAGTTTTCGAACTTAATCTGTTCCTGAAGTCTGTTCTTAAACCAAATCCGTTCTTAAACTGAGGCGCGCTTTCCCAAATGAGGCCTCCCGCCGCCAGTGCCCTCCCACCGTTCAGCTTCTGCTCGTAGACCAAGGTAAAGTTTGCAAACTGGAAAACTACTTGCAGTTTTGCGGGGTTTGTAAACCGAATAGTTCGTAAACAGGACTGTCCGTAAACTGAGGTACTACTGTAATGCGTTATTGAGACGTGACACCAGAGGGTGCTGCAGAACCCACTCCCCATCAAATAAGAGGGAGCCAGGGATGTTCTTGTGAGGACTTGTGGGATAATCCAAGTTCTTGTGAGCTCTCAAGAGCTAGTGCTATGAATGGGCCTTCCCCATCAAGCAAGGCTGAGAGCTTAAAAGCTTTTTTATGCTGGGTAACCCAGACCCACCACAAAAGAGCTTCTAAGTTCTTGGCCTTGCCTGCAGAGAAAGCCCTGTTGAGTGCACAGGCTTTGGGAGTGCTGGGGATGCTTTCTCTCACTCTTCCTCACCTGATAGCTATGGGGCCACTCAGAGGATTTGGAATATATGCAACTTACACATATATGCATTACTTTTGGAATCAAACCCCCATGTAAGATGAGGGATTATTGTACTTTAAAGACTGGAAAATTTATCATAGCACAAGCTTTCATAGACTAGAGTCCACTTCTTTAGATGCATGAAGCATCATCCTAAGTTGAAGGGATGGATATGTATATAGAAGGATATTGGTCTAAATAGATGTAAATAAAAAGATGACGTACAGAAGTTAGCATAATATGAAATGCAAAAAATGCAAACTGTGACAATTATTGTGAAGCTGAAATATATGTAAAGTAATTACAAAAGCTTTTCACAAATCTTGTGTTGATAACAATTTTTTTGGCACAGGTAAGCTAATAAATACATATTGTGAGAGAAATGATATTACAGTATAATGATTCCAGACACAGGTGATAGAATTTAACTTCATGATAAATTTTAATTCAGTAGTTACATATTGGAGAGTTACTTTGAATTTCCTGTGTTCACAATTGGCTACTTTACGGTCAGTTGCTGATTTTCTTTGGAGCCTGTCAGCTTTGGACCATATTTCATGAATGCTTATGCCATTATAGATCTGCTGGAGTTAAAGGTACAACAAAACTTACTGTACAAACTTTTTCAATTTATCATTAAATAAACAAGGCAATGTTCAATGCTCACATTTTTTATAATTCTCTTAATTATGACAAAATAAGAATAGTATCTGCACAAAAACTTAGTTAGACTACAGGACAAAGTGTTTGATAATGTTGCCCTCCAGAGGAGGAATGAGATACCACAGGAAGAAAAGTGCGAAGAGGAAACAATTTCCAGGCATTCTCTAATGGCAATCATGGTATTTCACAAATAATGAAGTAAGTAGTGGAGAGAGTCTATTCTTTCTAATGGGCCTATACTCAGTCCAATTGTTAATAATTTATTTGGCACTTTTGCAGTCCTGTCCTGTTAATGTTTACTCAGAAATTGTTTGCATTGGGGCTCAGGATCTTCACAAACTTGGCGGAGTTTCAGGCCTGATGAACATAGCAGCTCATGCCCTGTAGGTCCTACTCCATGAATTCAGTTACTAAGACTAAAAGTTGCTGCCTCCCCACAACCGTCTATGTCTCCTTCTCTCCAGGGCTTCTTGCAGGCAATCAGAGATCATGTGCAGCCAGTCTTTGCTCTTCCTGTTTGATACATTTCCTGGTTCTGGGAGTCAGGGGGGAGAGGAGCTTGTCACAGCAGGAGAGGGGACACCTGTGACTCTTCACTAGCTTGATTCATCTCTGCCTCTCGACTTCCCCCCTCCCACTCACCTCCTTCAGGTTCTGCCCCTGATTCTTGACTTCTCTCTGCCACAGGCTCTCCCCACTCTCTAAGTCTTGCTACCCCTTTGGCTTCCAACACTTCCTCTTCCCAGTCGTCTCCTTCTTCTCCACTCATCATTGTCCCACCACCACTCTCCAGGGTCTGAGCCTTCTTCCCTTGGTGGTTCCCCAGCTGGGGATTCATCTGTGTCCAACCAGTCAGTGACAGATGGATAGACATCTTTCTTTATCTGCCTATATACATAAAAATGTAAAGCTGTCATCACTCTGCAGTTTGCAGTCTTCCACAGTATGTTCACATAATGTGTTACACTCCTAATACCATGTGTTGTCTTTAACACACAGTTCCAGAATCAATGCAGTAGTTTAGAACAGGTATTTTATTAACAAGCAAACACCCATGTAGGAACAATATCTACCAACTGATCTTAACCTTCTCTAATAGAAGAAGCTATGTGACAGGCTTGATCCAAGTGACAGGCTTCCTCCCAAAAGTGGAAATGTGTTGACTCATTGGCCGCTTTCAACATGGGCATTACATGAAGGGGGATCACACATAGTATGGGGTTGTGACACCACACCTCTGGTCCCCCTTCTGCAGTAATACATAAAAACATGAGAGCCTGTGGGATCAGGCCAGTGATTCATCTAGTCTAGCATCCTGTTCTCACGGTGGCCAACCAGATGCCTATGGGAAGCCTGCAAGTAGGACCTGAGTGCAACAACACTCTTTCCTTCTGTGGTTTCCAGCAACTGGTATACAGAGGCATATTGACTCCTTTGACAGTGAGGGCTAAACATTGCCATGGTGGCTAGTAGCCATTGATAGTCTTATCCTCCATTAATTTGTCTAATCCTTTTTAAAAGTCATCCAAGTTGGTGGCTATCACTACCTCCAGTGGAAGCAAATTCCATAGTTTATATATGCACCGTGTGAAGTTATTTTGTTTGTCCTGAATCGTCCTACATGTAACTTCATGGGATGTCCCTAAGTTCCAGTGTTATGATGGAGGGAGAAAAATGTGTCTCCATCCACTTTCTCCATTCATGCATAATTTTATACATGTCTATCATGTCACTTCTTACTCGCCTTTTCTTTATACTAAAATGCCCCAGATGTTGTAACCTTTCTGCATAGAGTTGTTCCATCCCCTTGATCATTTTGGTTACCTTTTGTTGAACCTTCCCAACTCCACAATATCCTTTTTGAAGTGAGGTGACTAGGACTGTATGCAGCCATGCCATAGATTTGTATAGTAGCTTTATTATATTAGCAGTTTTATTTTCAATTCCTTATTTTCAATTTTATCCCTAGCATGGAGTTTGACTTTTTAACAGCTGCTGCACATTGGGTCAACATTGTTATTGAACCATTCACCATGACCCCAAAGTATTGTTCCTGCACAGTCACTGCCAGTTCAGACTGCATGAGCATAGATGTGAAATCAATATTTTTACCCCAACATGTATCACTTTACACTTTACACTGAATTGCATGTGCCATTTTACTGCCAATTTACTCAGTTTGGGGTGGTCTTTTTTTAGTTCTTCACAGTTCATTTTCACATTAATGACCCAGAAAAATATAGTGTCAACATTACTGGCCTCATCACTGGTGTCTACATGTGAAGCATGGAATGAGGGAAAGGTTATGTATGAAGACCTCTTCATGTGTAGGCTTTCTCTGAGTTCTGGATTCCTGATTGTACAGGCCTAACAGCAATGCCTAATGTGGATACTAGGGATGTGTCGAGGTACATTACCTTTCTAATGTGATTCTCCTTCTTGTGACAACATAAGTGTGAAGGGACTAATGCATGTTCTCAAAACTACTTGCCAATCTTTTCCTTTCTTTCACATGGTCTGAGTGCATTGCGAACTGGTATAGATTATGACATTATTTGCATCACTATAGCATATTGCAAGTTTATTTGATAAGCAAAAGAACTTAAGATATACCCACATCAAATTTCCTGTAATATAAGTGTTTTAAAAAGAAAATTACAATTCTGAACCGTAAGTGGAGATGATGGTTAAAACACTGACAAGTCATGTTGCTAATGTTTGGTGAAATACTCAACAAAAGAAGAAATATGTACTACTCTTTTAACCATGTTTATTTTTATTATATTAGAATGGAACAATTCTACAGTTTCTAGATTTCTAATCCCCATCTGAACATGTTGTTCTCTTCTTTTGCTCAGTGTCTTCAGTTTGTTTGCTTCCTTTTCGTATCAGATGTACAGAGATCCGTTTTTAATGCTAGTTGTAAAAAACTACCTTGGCTTACTGACATTCTTTAGGATCCCTGTAAAGAAACAGGAGGAACATGAGGAAAATGCAGCCTAGGAAAGCAGATAATAGAGTGTGTGAGAAAAAGAGAGAGAGGAAGGAAGCAGAACACAGAGATCTGTAATATCTCTTTGTCAGATTCAGAGTGCTGTCATGTGTCTCAGCTGCTTGACGTAATATAAAAATAGTAATGTGAAATATAATAATGTGAATTACATGAAGCATCACATGAAAATTAGATCTTATTACTGAAAAGTTGTGAACACAGCTGAAAAATACACAGCTTATGAGTGTGCATGCAGGGTGGCGGCGGCAGAATATCCTTTTTGGGGAATAGTATAGTGGAAAATGGAAAAGAAATGAGGAAAAGTTGTGGCGGTAAAACGAAACAAAAAAATGGCAAGATTACCTAGAATAGAAGGGGGAAAGAAAGGTTAATCAGAAGTGGGACAGTTATACTAGAAACAGCTAAAGAGTGCAGAAAAAGCAACAGTGTGAAAAGAGAGAGAAAAAATGAGGGAAGAGTCAGTTTTTGACAGTTTATAGATGTGTAATGAAAAAATGCACAAAACACACATCAACATTTTGTTTTCCTTTCTCTCAGTACCAGAAACTTTGTTCAAGTAACCAGAAAGTGATTGTGAATTCAGGGTAATGACTCAAGAACTCAAGTTTGACTTATTTTTTGCCTTTGATGCTGGTGCTATTTTTCAGACAATGAACTGGCTAAATTGCAATTCTGGTGCTGATGACTTTGGCACATATTTTTGGTACAATATTTTATATAATATAGCTTACTCTGCAAGCAAAGGTAACATTTCAGTCTGCCACTGCAAATCCCTCTTCCAATCTGAGATTGAATAACGTTTTCTGCACCCCTCTATACTCTTGCACATGTGGTTAGATTTATTCTTTGTTGGAATGCTCATAGGTAAAGGTAAAGGTACCCCTGCCCGTACGGGCCAGTCTTGACAGACTCTAGGGTTGTGCGCCCATCTCACTCTAGAGGCCGGGGGCCAGCGCTGTCCGGAGACACTTCCGGGTCACGTGGCCAGCGTGACATCGCTGCTCTGGCGAGCCAGAGCCGCACACGGAAACGCTGTTTACCTTCCTGCTAGTAAGCGGTCCCTATTTATCTACTTGCACCCGGGGGTGCTTTCAAACTGCTAGGTTGGCAGGCGCTGGGACCGAGCAGCGGGAGCGCACCCCGCCGCGGGGATTCAAACCGCCGACCTTTCGATCGGCAAGCCCTAGGCGCTGAGGCTTTTACCCACAGCGCCACCCGTGTCCCTGGAATGCTCATAGTAGGACTATATATTCTCCATTTTGTGCAAGAGAGAAAATGATACATAATTTCCTGGCTTTTCTAGTAATCATGGTATCTGGAACTATACATATAGTTTACACTAGGGGAAATGCCTGTACTATCTTTTTATTTCCACAGGAGGCACATATAATTATGGTTACATAATGTAGAACTTAAATTCCATTTAAATTAATTGCATAGTTTGTATGCATACAGGCTTACAATAAAAATTAAAAAAAATCATAAATGGATTGATTTCTAAAAGGCCGTAATGCCCTCATTCTTCAACTTAACACTGAGCATGTTGCACAAAATGTTACTGTTGCATGATGAAATTTAAACTACTCTTGTTATGCTAAGCTAAGAAAATGGGCATATGACACTGCACACTTTCATCAGTTTGTTGTTCCACATTCTGACCTTTACATTGGCATGTAATGTAATGAAATACTGTTAGTGTCTTTCAAACATTTTGGAGAGGTTCTGCACAGTCACTGTATTGTGTGTTTGTGAGGGTAGATTACAGCAGCAAAGCATGCTCCCCCCTTTGTACAATCAGCGTTCTCCAGGTGTCTGAAAGGGGGCTTTGAAATACAGGACTATGGGCTTGGATTGCTATTGCTATGCTCAGGGAAAGAAGGAAGAAAAAGAAATTCATAAGATGCTATAAGATTCAACAATTCTTCATTGGCTCCTTTAATTGAGTTTATATTGGCCATGATGACTTACAGTGAACAGCTTGACATTCAGACTTTGATTTCTATCCATCGGTTGTGTTACCTTTTTAACTGAAGCTTTTCTCAAACCCTCTTTGAATTTATTGTAGTTTGTTTCCAGCTATAAGTGAGTGCTCATAAGAATGCAATACATTGAATAATGGCAAAGAAACCAAAAAATACACCACCCATATTGCATCAAATTTTCCCCACAAGTGAAGCTTGGATTCAGTCTCTCCATTACATACAAGTAATGGACACTGTCAAAGCTGAGAGCACTGAATTGAGCGGATGCTCATCAAATTTGCAGATGACACCAAACTGGAAGGGGTTGCTAATTGTTCCACAATTTAAGAAGGATGTTGACAAGCTGGAACATGTGCAGAGTGGGGCAACCAAGATGATCAGGGGTCTGGAAACAGCCTTACGAGGAGCCCTTGAAGGAGCTGGGTATGTTTAGCTTGGAAAAAGAGACTGAGGGGAGATATGATTGCCATCTTCAAATATCTTAAGGGCTATCACATCGAAGAGGGAACATGCTTGTTTTCTCCTGCTCTGGAGGGTAGGACTCAAACCAAAGGCTTCAAGTTACTAGAAAGGAGATTTCAGCTAAACATTCAGAAAAAAACCTCTGACAGTAAGAGCTGTTTGACAATGGAAGAAACTCCCACAAGAGGTGGTGGACTCTCCTTAGTTGGAGGTTTTTAAGCAGATGTTGGATGGTCATCTGTCATGGATGCTTTAGCTAAGATTCCTGCATTGCAAGGGGTTGGACTAGACGATTCTATGATCACCTTTTGGAAGTGTGTATGTACACATAGGTTTCCATGCATAGGAGATAACATGATCCACATGCAGAAGCCTATTTCTGCAGGCAAATCATCCTCTCTAGATTGAGGTGACAGGCTGTAAAATACTTTGTTGATGAGAAGCAAGTAGTGTCACAGGTAGGCAGATAATTAGAGTTCTTCAGGTTGTCTGATCAAAGCTGATGTGAATTAGGTAGTAAAATATTATTAAATTAAAAATATAATTACTGAATACTAAATATGATTCACAGATAAATATTGACTTCATAAACTACTCAAATGCCATATATGTATTTCTGAAAATATATATCGCAAACCTTTGGTGGGGGAAGAACGCCTGTGCCCACCTCAATCCCTGCTTTGCTGGCCCAGCTTCTGGTCATTAATTGCATGGAGTTGAAATGCAATATGCATAGTCATCCAATAAACCAAGTATTTGCTGTACTGTCCAAATGTGTGCTGGTCTAGATTGCACAAACTGGACTTAGAACATTGAACTTTATGCTTCATTCCCCATTTAAATGTTGCTTCCAAAGTCAGCACAATTCCATCCCTTAATCATGCATAGATGCTACACACTTTCAGATATAGATGCACAGAACAGCACATAAGTAGATGCCTGAGATATCTATATGCCTATAAGCAAATTAAAAGCTAGCTTTGTACAGTATAATATTTTAGGGCACTTGTTGTGATTGCAGTGTCACAGGTATCAGAGTAAAGCACAGAATCCATAGATTTGTAAACAGATGTTAGTTTTGGCCAATGAAGTCTGATGAAATCAATAAAAGAAAAAGAAACATTGAAGTAAATTCAGTCTTTCAAACCTCTGAAGCTATTTTGGAAGTTTTGACTTCAGTTGACTGAACTGGCTTAGCTGCTGAGGTGTTAATTAATTAATTTTAGAATGAATGATTTTAGAGTGTTGTTTATGCTGTACTTTTGTACTGTTTTATTGTTGTTAGCCGCCCTGAGCCCGGCTAAGGCTGGGGAGGGCGGGATATAAATAAAATTTATTATTTATTATTATTATTGAATATTTGTAAACATCCTCACTGCTCAGAAGTTAAACCACATGCACACCAGATCTCGGGAAAGATAGCAAAAAATTGTTCATGTGAGTGAATGATGTGTGCAGATGAGAGGGTTATGTGCATGATGTATCTTTGTGTATATGTATGAGCACTACATGAATGCTGTAAATCCGTCTATGTGAAGGAGAGAATGAAGGAGAAATTGCATACAGAGAAAGTATTACTGCACAAAACTCTTCTGCAAATGGTTATGGGTCTCCACATGTCATTGCCCTAATGCTGGACACACAGCAGAGAGTGTTGGGCGTGTAAATATATTTTTGTGTGGCTGAATTCCAAAGGGTAATGACTGTTTAACTCACAGAGACAACATAGGTGTTGTTTTTATTAGTCGCCTTTGATTGGACTTAACCATCCAGGGGTCTTTTACCTTTACCTTTTACCTTTGTTTTTATTTTTATTTATTATTAATTTTTGTTCCTCACCTTTCAGAAACCTGTTCCAAGGTGGCTTGTAATGAAATATAAAAATACAGTGAAACAAAAAGATCAAAGCATAATAATAAAACAACAAAACCAAGAAGCAGAAAAGAGAACAGGATAAAAAACCAGGCACTGGAGATAAACTAGACAAAACTGCCTGGGAAAATAAAAAGATATTTGCCAAGCACCAGAATGACATTAAACTAAGCAGCAAGTGAGAGTGTTCTGTAGTTGGGAGAACACAATAACAAAGGTCATTTTTCTATTCACCACCTGCCGCAGCTGTGACAGCAGCTCCCAAAAAAAACCCTCTGAAGATGGGGCATTCCATGTTGCATAACCCAGAAAAGATGAAATACCACTAAGCTGAATAGACAGACCATTCGCCAGTGGCACCTCCCACTTATTGGGATAAATTTTCAGTTTATGGCTCCCATATGGAAAAATATAAATATAATAGCTATGGAGGGCAGAATGGGAAAAATCATTTCAAATGTCATTCATACCTGCAGTCTGCAGTCTTTTCCCCGTAATAGAAAAAAATTCTTGTCCCCTGAAATCAGTAAAGATAATAATAATAATACTTCAATTGAAAGCAATAATACTGAAATGAGTTTCTATTTCAGGGCTGTACACATCTAAGCAAATAGTTTCCCACCTCCATGCTTACTGAATAAAGCATGACTTTTTCCAGAGATGAAGCAGTGAGTGGGAGGGGAGGGCTTTGCTTTTTGCCATCATAACCTTTAGTTCTGTTTTTGAACTGTGAAAACTGGCAAATTACTCCCAATTAGCTACTTATAGTTGTGCTGCCTTTGCTAAAATATGTGAGAATGTAAATATCACAGATCTGTAGTTCTTCAGTTTTTCAGATCCATGGCCCATTTTGATAAATCCATGTGGACATTTTATGATGCAGTTAATAGCTTCAACCGCACAGCCATCTAGTCCCAAATGCCAATAGCAATCTTTCTATTTTACAGAGGGGGAAATGAGCCCATTAATTGAAGAAAGGAGCCACAATGACCAGAAAGTACATTCACTTTTAAAATGGCTTTTCCCCATTAGCTACATTAGCTACATTTGGAAGTGGTACATTAGACACTAAAAGGTGATTTTAGCATCACTTTTGAAAATGACTATTCAGTCTGTGAAAAGGTTGGGAGTTAGACTTGGGTCTTACAACTCTTATATAGCATTGATTGGATCACATCAGTTCTCAACATATCAAGTGCCCATCAAGTACCTTTTGTTAATGATTCTCCCCCACCTCACCCACTGCCGAACAGTGATTAAAGATAATATTTTAAAGAACACAAAAATTATTAAATCTGTATGACCTAGTACATTATTGTAGGTTTCTGTTCTATGGAAACAACTGACTTGTAATGTCAAAAGCTCTCTGCTCAAAAATTATCAGTGACCCTGGTAATATTTTTGTGCAGAAGCTCACCATAATTTGAGACTTGCTACACTTGGTTTTGATTATCTGTGTTTTGGTATCTTGCTCTAAACAAGGCTATGTCCATCTTAGGTCTAAAACTGAGATCCTACATTCTGAAAAAGGAGCTTCCTATGAAGCTGAACTTTTTGTGTGTTATAATGAAATAAATAAATCCTCAAGTTGATTAGATTCATTTGAGAGCAATGACAAACTGAGCTTTTAGTGTCATTGGCCCAGTCCTGTGGAACACCCTGTCAATAGAGGTTCAGCGGGTGCATTCTGTGCTAACTTTAAAATGCCTGCTGAAAACTTTTCTATTCAACCAGGCCTATGCAGGCAATTAAAAGTACGGTACATCCCCCACAGCAGTCTCTTGATTTTGTTTTTGTTTTTTACTTTTAACTTGCTTTTAACCTTTTAATGATTTTATTGTCTGTTTTTATGTTTTTATATTGTTGCATAAATATTTTTATAAAGAAGGAAATAATAAAGAGCTCGAAAGGCTGTGTTACTGAGCAGACAAACATGATGTAACACAAAATAAAATTGGAATAGATGCTGGAAGATTGTGTTATGGGTTAGTGGGGAAACAGGGATTCCTCCAGATCCCTGGATGCCAGATTTCCACCTCTAGTTTCTTGGGTACTGGGGTTTAATCGGAGCTGACAGACTGAGCTTGACATTAACCCATCTACAATACAAAAGACCCTGCAGGAAACTGAGGGGGAGGTTGCCAGGTCAACGTGGGTGTGATGTGAGTCAGAAAAAAACTTGTCCTTTTATATAGGTTTTTTTTGGTAAAGTGTTCTAAGAACAAGAATGGGGAAGTAAGGAGAACTCCAAGTAGTGCTGGCTGGAGGACACCAGGGGCTATGACTGGCTGCTGCTTTGGACCTAAGCTCACTGAATCTATCAGAGGAGCCATGAGGTACACTCTTGGGGCATAATGTTCTTTACCCCCTCCAGTGAAGGCTGTAGCTGTAAATATGTGTAAAATAAAGACACTAGTGTCCACCGCACCTCAATTTTCCAGCAACCCTGGGTGAGCACCTGGAACCCCCTGGAATTTTGCTATCGCTTGGCAGAGATTGTGGGTGGCGTGTAACAATAGATAATGATTATGATGGATCACATACCTAGATTTACTCCTTGAGATAGTCCTCTTCATTAATTCTTGACTATACTTCAGTTTTTCTGAGTTTGCAGCACTGGGATTTTTCATGCAGCTGTCAGAAGAAACTGTGGCCTGGCTATGGCTCTTAGGAAATTCTTCAATAGGACCTACTATATCAGAAATGGTGACTCGTTTCGAAGGCATTTTCTTGATTATTTCTGGTTTTATTATTGGCTCTTGGCTGGTTTGTGGTTTTGTGGGAGTCTCTGCTTGATTGTATCCCTTTGGGAGCAACAAAGACAAGAGGGAGTATAGCATATGTTAAAAGCTCAGTACAGAATCAGTCCCACTCACATTCTTTGAACTTGCCATGGAGAAGTGTGTTCAAAGTGACGACAGTGATTAACTGACACACACTCAAAACAGTCAGAAACAATTAAGTGAAAAAGAAACCCAGTATATATCACCCTTCATCCAAAGATCACAGGGCGGTTTACAGCATAAAAATACAAAATGAAAACACAAAATACATATCTAGGACTACATTGTGCAGGATGGGTTTCTTGGCATTGGGCAAACCAACAGGAGCTTGCTCATGCAGGTTTTTAAAAACTACACTTTACAAAAAAAAATTACCATTTTATGTTCTCAAGGTCCTCCCCACCTTTTTTTCAACAATCTTAAACTATATACCCAAATAGCACTCACTTGTAGTGCCTTGCTTGTTGTGGCTCTGTTTTCCTCCTGAGTCTTAAAATCTTTATATAGGGTATTGACTGAAGAAGTTTTATATTTAGATTTCAGTAGACTGATGAGCCGCACCCACTGTCGGAAGAGCTGGGGCTGTTTCTGTAGTGGCTCACAGAGTTCTAGGTAGTAGGCACGGCCACTCACCAGCTTCAGTTTGATGCGTCTTTTCTTAGCATTGTGAACAGTAACATCTACAAACTTCAAGGGCAAGAACCTACAAGAAAATGATTGTGTGAATTCCTGCTAGCTGTACTTCACTGAATCACTACATAAAGTGAGCGGAAAATGGGATCCAAGAGAGTAGGGAACTGACTGAAATAAATGGAGGATTTTTCAAGAAGGCCGCTGTGCACTGTCAGTTTGGGTTACATGTAGGCAACAGAAAATAAAGGCACATAGTGTATCCACTGTGTTTTTTATTATAGAAAAACTTACGGTACTTATGTGCATATGACAGCAATAAGTCACATGGGATTCATTTTCAATCCACCCTGATCTCCCAACCGCCTGCACTGCTGGTAAAGAGAACTTTGGCCTAATTGTGCAGTTCACAAAGAAGGGTCAGCTAATGTCACTAGAAAAACCTGCCCAATTACGTACCTTTTCAAGGCAGCCCTCTTTTTTGCGCCATGGGCTAAGAATACGGAATTCCATACATACACCTACTAAAGCTGCCATTTGTGGGAGAAATTCCCACCATTTATTGTGTTACCTGTTACTTGTGTTACCTGTTACTCTTGTTGAAGGCTTTAGTGGAAAAGTTACTCATAAATATTCAAAATAGGTAATTTATTTAACTATAAAATGGCCAAGAAATTAAATGTGCACAATAATGCCTGCATTGGTAAGACATAGCGGGTATTTCATTCTACAGTGGTGAAGCCGGAGCATTCTTTGAAATCTGGAAGATTTATTCAAAATAAAATTCTATAGCCTGGGACTACCTTGCTTTTACAGTTCTTAAGCAAGCTGCTCTGGGATCCTTTTCATTTGAAGAATGGGGTAGCAATGCTTAAAAATATATCGTTCCTGATTCTTGATCTCTTGTTGGCTTTTGATACCATCAGCCATGATTTCCTCCTGGACTGGCTCCAGGGAATGGGATTTGTGGGCACTGCATTACAATGGTTCCAACCCTGCCTTCATTCAGGACTGACTCCAGTCTTATCTCCGGTGGCATTTAATATCTACAGTTGTTAGGAGATTTGGGCTAAGGTGCCATCAGTATGCTGATGACGCTCAGCTTCTTTTTGCTATAATATCTGAATCAGAAGAGGCTGTGCAGTCCCTGGGTCATTTGCCTGGATGCAGTGGTGTAGTGGATGAAGAAAAACAAGCTGAACTTGAATCCTGGCAAGACAAAAGCACTATGGGAGAGTAGCCAGGTCTGAGAAATTGGTCAACTGCCTACCTTGGATGGGGATGCACTCCCCATGAAGGAGCAGGTTCACAGTTTGGGGATGCTTCTGAATCCAGCTCTGTCACTGGAGGCTCAGGTAGCCTCAGTGGCTAGAAGTTTGTTTTATCAGCTGTGACTGGTTTGACAGCTATGGCCTTGCCACAGTAGTTCATTCATTGGTTACTACAAGACTGGATTACAGCAATGCACTTGTATATGGGGCTTCCCTTGTGCTTGATCCAGAAGCTACAGTTAGTGCAGAATGCTGCAGCATGATTGCTAACAGGGGTGAGGCCTTGTAAACATTTAATATCTTTTCACAGATATCTGCACTGGTTGCTGATTTGCTACTGGGCCAAGTTCAAGAAGATTGCCTTACCCCACATGTACCCAGATGACCTCTTTGATGAGTGGAAATAGCACTACCACAGGTGCCACATAATACCTGTTCCGCAATGTTTAGATTGTTTAGTGTGGCAGCACCTACACTTTGGAATTCCCTGCCTACTGATCTCAAGCATGCACCTTGATTGCATTCTTTTTGGCGCCTACTAAAAACATTCTTGCTTAGACAAGCCTACCCAAGTGCTTAGAAAGTTGACGTGAATTTTAACCTCTTTTAGTATTTTTACTTTTTGTATGCGGAGGTGCTAAAAACTATGGCAAGCTGTCTCCCTAGATGGTTTGTGGGTTGTCTCTGGTTCTGGTGCAGGTCAAATACATACAGCCCCAGCTCCCTCATTCTCTTAGATACAGGCAGATGGCTAGGGCAGCTCGGAGGGGCCTTTGCACAAACGTGTGTGTGTGCAATGGTAGAGGCCTGGCTGGAAAGCTTAAAGCCTGCTGCTGCTGCTGCTACATGGGAGACAGATTGAAGAAAAGGAAATATGAATTGGCTCCACCCCGTAGCTTCAATAATTGCAGCTAGGAGCAGCTAAGAGGTAGATAAAGTCCTAGATCTAAAAGAAGTGTAGATTTGCACTCGCTGGGCAGATTCTGTTTTGATTTGAAATGTTTGTTTTGGGCTTCTCAGAAGTACATAAAGTCAAGAAACAGGAGTGGGGAGTGTTGGCCCAGCACACTCTGGATGAAAAAACAGCACTGCTTGTATTTCTGTTTATTTAAAACATGTATACACCACCCTTCATCGTACCAGATTTGAGGGCAATATACAGAGCATAAAACAATTCAATAAAACTCAGTCTGAAGATAAGAGCAACCAAGCAAATCTCAAAACTGACATTAAAGTGCCTGGGTAAATAATATTTTTTGCCTAGCACCTAAAAGATGGTTGTGTTGGCACAAGGAAAACATATTTGGGGAGGGTATAGCCAAACCTGGGGTAGCACAGCTGAGAAAGCCCTTGCCCTGAGTGATGTCAGCCTCAATTCAGAAGGGAGAGATCTTTCTCTCTGCTCTGCATAAGTGCCTTATGCCAGTCTTATAACTATGGATGGAGGACATTGCATTGTTTCTCACCCCATCTCCTTGTGTAGTACTAGAAATTCAGGCATTTAAACAATGTTGCCATTGGAGTTGGGGTGCAAACATCACATATTTTCATCCTAGCCATAAAAGAGTGTCACCAACTGGACAAATTGTGCTGCTGAAAATTTCATTCATGATGCGCATTGTGGATTCTTGGTGAAAAAGGTTTATGTATAGATACTTTACTATTTTAATACTCTGTAGAAATAGTGAAAATTGGGAGATTCTGTTACCATTTCCCCATACCAAATTATAAGAGTCAACTTGAATTTATGCAATATCTGCAGTCTTTTCATGCCTCCTCACCTGGTGAGCACTAGTTCATCTTCAGAATTTGATTGCCTTCTGCTTGCTGGGCGTGCTGAAATGGCTTCCTGGGAGGACGAAGAAGCTGCATGTGCAAGCACCATCACATTTGGCAATGACTGGCTTGAGCTGGAGGCAAAAATGCCCATGGTCACATAGTTGGGGCGATTGTGAAGGTAAATTGATTCACCCCTTCTATTCACCTGCAAAGAGATAAGAGATTAATAAATATTATTTCAAAAGCATATGAAAACACATCGTATTGCAATTATGATATTGGAAAGGGAAGGAAGGCTCAAGAAAGATGTGTATGTGAGAAAAGAGAAGAACTTAAGTCAAAAGCTTGCAAAACTAACATAGTGGAAATGTTGGAAGTAGCTTCAAGTGTGATGCTGGAAAACCCAATGACTGCTATCCTGCAAGCAGGGTGGATAAAAATCTATAATTTATTTTTTTTTTAAAAAAGGTTTTTTAAAATTTCAATCAGATTTTTTAAAAATTCAATTGGATTTATAAAAATAAAATGCTTTTGGAGGAAAAAAACTCTTTCTAAAGGTAGTTTTATATTTGAGTTAAATTATAGGCCAAATGATTTGTTTTTAATTATGTAGCATGAGGCTTTATATGGAATGTTTAATTTTTTTGGTAAATGAATTCCATTAATCCATTCAAAATGTCATGCTCTTCCAGAGGTTTCTGTAAGATTATTTGGGGCAGTTTTTCTAACAAGAATATATTATCACAGATGCTTGTTTTTGCAGTTCTCAAAAGTGTGAATTTGAGTCTGCAGAGATAACATGCCTTTTCTTCACAGGAAAAATGTTATAAAATAAACATACAGAGTTGAGGGAAAAAACTTAATCCCATTGTTCCTTTGCAAATTTATATACACAGAATCAACCCCTTACTACTTAAATGCTAAGTTCCGTGTGAAGCAGTAAAAATGAAAGTGTAACCTTATGACCAGAATACTCCACAAGTCTTGGGATCTTTGTTTTAATAATTGTGCAAGTCAGTTGCATGTCTGTGCAACTCAGACTTGAGGCAAGTGCTGAACGTACTTCAGGGCTGGCAACCTCTTCCCAATCCCACTGGGTTCCAACAGCTGCACTGATACTTAACTGTACAGAATAGGCACCTGAATGTAGAAGCAAATCCAAAGGTGTGGTGGTGGAAATAGTAACTGGGATCTGTCTTTGGCGAGACCTTGAAGTGCTTGCCAGTCAACTAATAAGAGTTCACTGGTTCCAGGCCCTTCTTCCCAGGGCTCACCTGACATTGTCCAAGCAATAAAGTCTCTACCTGGAACTTCAGTCCTGTAGCAGGAATCCCTGAAGTTCTACTCCAGTCCTTGGTTCCCCTTTTCCAGCTTTCCACCAGCCTGTTTCTCCTTGACCTGTTCTTTGAGCGAGCCTGTTCCTGCCTAGGCCTACCAACTGTATCTCTCCCCCCCTCCCCCCTAGAAAAAGGAAGACCAGCTTCTCTAAAGCCAGAGCTGCTGGGAGATATAGCCCCTATAAACAGTTAACTTACGAAACCTCACAATAATTTCATAATTATCTGTCTATGTATTTCTAATAGTATAACCATATCAATATTTTTTGATATAACTGTAAAAACTACTTTGAAAATTTATTATTCCAAAAACGAAACCTTATAGCAGCAAGAATGAGTCTTTCTGTATAAAAATTATTTAAATCAATTTAAATCATGATTTAAATCAATTTGATTTAAATCAAATCCACCCTGCCTGCAGGACATCAACATTCACAACATCTGCACTTTATGTATGTATTTATTTCATACAATTTATACACCACTTGGTTGTGAAAAAACTCAAATCAGTTTACAAAGGATAAACTCCTGGTTCAGCTCAGAAGTTCATTGCCTCCGTGATAATCAGACATCCCTTTGCACTACACATTTGGCAGGTCATAAGCCTGATTTGTGTAAGGCATCAGGATGATTGAACCAGCAATTCTGGTTCAAATCTAGAATGGAGATATGACCCAGACAGTTGACACAATGGGAATTCAGAGTCTGCATGACCACAGGCAAGTTACCCCTGCTGTTAATCATCCTGGACTTCTCAGAAGCATTCAATACTATCAACTATGTTATGGCATGGTTTTGAGCCACTTTGCTGAGATGGGATGGCAAAGGCACTATTTTGCAGTGGTTGCCATCATCTCTGGAAAGCTGGTTTCAAACGGTTCTGTTGTACTCTGTGGCTATTGGTTCATGGCATGGTGCAGGGAACAATCCCCTCTCCCATGCTTTTTAGCATCTGCATAAAACTGCAAGAGGAGGTCAACTGCAAGAGGAGATTTAAAGTAAGGTGTCATCAATATACTGATGACACCAGTTCTATCACTCTTTCCATCAAATCTCAGGAAGATGTGCAGGTCCTGAACTGGTGTCAAATGGACTTGACACTGGTAAAGAAAAATCCAGTCTGGGATCAGGTGTATTGCCTGTTTGATATTTGGTTCTTATTTCTTATTTATATAATACCATCTGCATAGAGCAGATTCATAGAGCAGACTGTTTCCCCCCCCCATATGAATCTACCTGAACACTCAAGTTGGCCTGGGGTATACGTGTTTGAAGTATGCCAGGTTGTCAGTTGAGAGAGGCTCTTTCTGATCATGGTGCCTAAGCTGTGGAAAGTTTTTATCAAGGTCCTACTGGTCCCATTATTGTGCTCCTTTGGATGGCTGGTGAATACTTTCAGGGGGCTATTTGAGAGGGCTCTTAGGCTGGGTAGAGATAATTTAGTTACTATTGCTTTGGATTATTATTTTTTACTTTTTTATTCCAAGCAGTTCTACATTTTTAAAAAACCTGTGTTGTTGGCCATCTTAGGGGGAGGCTTTCAAAGAAAAGTTGGGTAAATAAAAAATAAGAAAAATCACCTGTTGATGAAGCTCTTGTTTCTGTACGCCCACTTCTCTGTGCAGCTCTACAATTCCTGTAAAACTAGATCTGAGTTTCTAAGCCAAAACAAGCCCCAGGGGTAATCTTTTCAGGCAACCAGGGCAGTTAGCCTTGAAACTTAACTGAAATTGATCCAGAAACTTTGGAATTTATCCACTGGAATTTCCCTTCCCTCTCCTCCACCCATATACTCCTCTAGTATCCCCAAATATGTTCTGGAGAGTTGAGGAACTGCCAGAGCGGATTTGGGGGGTGCACAGGGAGAGGGGAGGGAAGGAAAGTTCCCTTGCGCTCATGGAAGTCTATCTGTATCTGTAGGTACTAGGTTTTAGGCTGTATACACATTACCACTTCACTCTGGCTTCAGTGCACACCTACCACCGGTGTTTGAATTTGTGTACACATTTCCCCTCAGACGCTCATGAGACAGCTTCATGAATAGAAATTGGGAGGGTTGCAGGCATGGTAAATTAGACTCTGTTTTCTACAGTTGAGTCTGTGGCATTTGTAGGCGTTCATGCTCTGCTCAGTTGCCAGTCTAAACAGTAGTATTCTAAAAAAATTAGTTACCTGAACAAAATTGCTTTCAAACACAGGAGCAGATCTCAAGGGAATATAGTCTCCTCTTTCAAGAATTTTTTTAAGGTCTCCCATAATAGGAATGTGAAATGCAGATTTGGTGTGTTTAGTGGGCTTCTTAAACTCCGGTTGCTTTTACGCCTACACATAAGACAAGAACAAAATGACATTGGAAATTAATAAGAGACAGCATGGAAAAAAGGCTAACTCAGAATAGCATAGAGAGCTAAGAAAATTTATAAATCTTTGCCAGGCACATAATGTAGTGAAGTTATGACTATTCTAAATTACTGTATGTTCTCAGGAGCCTTTCCCATAGAATCATAGAATTGTAAAGTCAGAAGGGACTTAAGGGTCATCTAGTCCAGCCCCCTCAATACAGGAATCTCAACTGGTCATTCAATTTTTTTCTGGCATGGGTTGAGTCCTGGAACATCTATCAAAATGTGTTGATCATTTTTTACAGTCTCATGTTAGTAAGTCAGATACGTTTATTAAGGATACTACACATTTCATTCAAATCATAGAACAAAGTACAATGATGGAATCAGATATTCTAGTCACTTTAGATTTACAGTCTTTGTACACATCTATTCCCTTGGATGAGGCGAGGTTAGTTCTTGAGGATACTCTAAATGCTTGGAAGCCTTTTGACCCCCTCCCTCCCTTCTTCCTGATGGAATTAATTGGCTTGATTTTAGAAAGGATTTCCCCCACAGATTTGATCACAATTTTTATTACAAAATCAGAGTTGTTTCAATGGGTTCACCATTTGCCTCTAGTGAGGCAAATTTATTCATGTGTCAATTTGAAAAACAATGGTTTTGGATCCCAACACTAACCCTTATTTCCATGATAAAAGGCTATATAGATGACACATTTATTTTTCCAGTGAACAATTGGCTTAATTTAGTTCATCCCACGATTAAATTTAGTTTGCAACATAACAGATAGGCCATCTCCTTTTTAGACATGACTGTGTATATAAGCTTCCAAAGGGCAATTGGGCGTTAAAAATCATACTAAATCTGCAGATAAACATTCCCTTTTAAGATATGAGTCCTTTCATTCATGACACTTGAGAGACAGCCTCCCTTCCAGTCAAATGATTAGAATAAAACGGAACTCATCTCAACCTGGGGTTTTTGTTCAGGACTCCAGAACGTTAGCTAAATAAATTCAAAATAGAGGATACCCAGAACACATTATCAACAATACAGTCCAGAGGGTGTCCAATATTAATAGGGAGCAACTTTTTCAAAAACAGGAAATAATTAAACAACAGAGGATAACATTCACCTTTGAGTTTTCTAGCTTATCTATGAAAATCAAAAAGTTAATAAACAAACATTGGCACATCATTCAACACATCCCCAGATGTGATCTTCCCTCTCTAATTGGTTGGAGAAGGGGCAAAACTATTAAAGAATCCTTAGTCATATTCCATTCTATTCTATTCTTCAACTGGAAACATCTCCCAATGCAGCTAAGTGTCATTATAAATGTGGGCACTGCAGGGTCTGTGATATGTTACTTAATGTTAGAGAATTTCATGATCCACAGTCTGGACACATTTGGAAATTGAACCTTTTTGCAATTCACCTGTCATCACGGATCATGTATGGGATTATACGCCCGTGTGGCAAAATGCATGTAGGTGTGACACTGAGATGTGTATGGATAAGAATTCTGGAACATATATATATAGAATTAGACAAAATACTATGGATGCACCCTGGTGCAACACTACGTTGAATATGGCCATACAGATTAGGATATACAGTTTTTGGTGTTGCAGGCTTACAAGTATAGAACTTTGCATTTGTCCCTGTTGAAATTTATTTTGTTAGTCCTACAATCTGTTAAGGTCATCTTGAATACTGATTTTGTATTCTGTGGCATTAGCTAACACTTTGGTGTTATCTGCAAATTTGATGAGCATCCCCTCAATTTCTTCATCCAGGTAGTTTATAAGGATGTTGAACAAGTCCAAGCCCAGGACAGAACCCAGAACACCCCACTTGTCACTTTTTTCCAGGATGATGAAGAACGCTCTTTGGGTTGGGTCAGTCAACCAGCTACAAATCCATCTAACAGTTATGTCATCCAGCTCACATTTTACCAGCTTTCCTGCAATAATATTGTGGAGGTGTTTGTCAAAACTTTACTGAAATCAAGTTACACTACATCCACGGCATTCCCTTGATCAACCAAGCTTGTAAGAAGGTGGGGTGTCTTCTAGCTTTGTGCTAGGTAAAGGTAAAGGTACCCCTGCCCGTACGGGCCAGTCTTGACAGACTCTAGGGTTGTGCGCTCATCTCACTCTATAGACACTTCCGGGTCACGTGGCCAGCGTGACAAGCTGCGTCTGGCGAGCCAGCGCAGCACACAGAACGCCGATTACCTTCCCGCTGGTAAGCGGGCCCTGTTTATCTACTTGCACCCGAGGGTGCTTTCGAACTGCTAGGTTGGCAGGCGCTGGGACCGAGCAGCGGGAGCGCACCCCGCCGCGGGGATTCGAACCGCCGACCTTTCGATCGGCAAGCCCTAGGCGCTGAGGCTTTTACCCACAGCACCACCCGCGTCCCCTAGTTGCTGTGAATAACTAGAGCAAGAATGAGGACACATTTGCCGACTTCTACTTTTAACTATGGATCGTTATGACAACTCTCATTTTGCATACCCATGAAAAAGAGGACATGTCCTGGAAAAAGAGGACATATGACAACCCTAAAATATGTTACCAAGGGAGGGAGATACAGGGCTGGTGACAAGTTTTGAGGGCTTTGGGGCATATTCACCTAAGATGGTCACTGTAATCTAGGGGTTGGAGGAGACATGGTTCGTAGGGGTAAGCGGGATATGCACATCAAGTATGCATGTTCATGGCCCTTTGATGAGGGCAAAACCAAAATGGCAACATTGGCTCTCAGCAAGTGGGAAAGGTGGAAGAGAAAGGACAGGTGGGCTGTTTAGCTGGTTTGGGTTCTCGTAAGTACCTGACTTTGATAATTTTAAGCTCAACCATGGGAAAATACTAAGTAACAATGTTGTCTCTGAAGCATGCAGTAGGTGTAGTTTTGATCTTGTATTGTAATCAGTGAAACTCATAAGTCTGATTAGGCAGATAAAAACAATTAGCTTACTGGGTTTTTAAAACATTATTTAACTAAAAATAAATAATAGGTTGGGCCAGTAAGCAGTGATGTATCCCTTTAATTGCAAACAGTAATTGAGCTACTTATCTGATTCCCAACATTACGTACTTTCGTCTAATATTTTGTCTCCCTAAAGGAGCTTCTGTATCTTATTCTCTTATTTTAGAAGAGTAATGTCTTACATGGAGGGCCAGACCAAAGGAAACATGTGGCACCAACATTTGATCCAAGTCAAGTAGCATGTGTTACTTTATAGAGTTTCTCTAGGCAATGGCTGGTATCCAGAAGTGAGGTAATGCCATGTCACAATAGGGGCAAACTATAGAAAACAGAGCCCTATGGCCTAAGATAAGACAATAGAACATTAGTACACATAAGAGACATGAAAAAGGCTTTCAGAGAGAAGGCTAGACTTGAATCCCTTTCCCTGACATCCTAATTTCTGGGTCTAAGGAATATTCTCTTTGTGTGGGAGCATTACAATACGCACTCCACAGCTGTTGCATTAAGTAGTATAGCTGAGAAAGAGTTTTCCATTTCATCCTGCAGCATCATAAATAAATGTGTAATCCCAGGTGGTATTGCATTCTAATTCTTAAGCAAGAATCTTGCTGCAAGATCAGGAGTGTTGAATTGGGTTTGTCTACTGCAAAAAGTGGACTGAACAAATTTTCCTATCATCCCTAGCAAATATGTGGTTGTGGTGGGTTCTGTTGTAATTCTTGGTATTGTTAATTTTCTATAAGTAGACTGAAGACACCACACCCTTCAGAAACATACTATGTTATCAGATACAGTTCTAGGAAAGGGGCACAGTCAGGGTGTTATGGGAAAGAAATAGAATGTTTAATCTATGGACCACCATCTAGGCATCTAAACTATAATACATGTGGCTATTCTAGTGCAAACTTGTAGGTCTACTATTTTGTAATAAGGCTTCAGTGGCTCAAATCCTCACTCATTTGTACAGTTCATTTTGGTGACCTTGATCCAATAATAATAATAATAATAATAATAATAATATAATAATAATAATAATAATAATAATAATAATAATAATAATAATAATAATAATAATAATAATTTATATCCCGCCCTCCCCAGCTGAAGCTGGGCTCAGGGCGGCTAACAACACTAAAATAGTGCAACATTTTAGTCTAACCTATTTTATAGGCTTTTTGTGAGGATAAATTGGATCCCTGTATGTCACCTTGAGCTCCTTGGAATAAAGGTGGAATGCTATTTAGTTTTTATTTAAATATTTCTATGCCATTTTTTGCAAAAACATTTCAAAGCAGTATGCATCAATTTAAAACAATATAACTATTCAAGTAATATAGACATCATAAACTAGATTAAGAATAAACAAAAAATGAGTGAGCTGGTGACATACATGTGATTTCAAAAAAATAAGTGACATAGCAAGATAAACCTGCCCACCTACCAGAAACAAGACAGGGCATGCCTGTTTGTTAGTGAAGCTAATTCAGCTATGCATGTGTGTTAAAATTGTGATTTCTTACTAAATTTCTGTATTCAGTATTTTTAGAGATGCTCACAAAATCAGTTGACTAGATTTATAGTTACATAACAAAGATAGTGATTAATCAGAAAGGTTAAAAATTCATAATTTTAGTTCTGAAAACAACAGGCATTTAGAGATAAAATATCAAAAAAATTGAGGTGATAAATTGAGGTGATAAATATATAACCAAATAAATACACTTGCCTGTATAGATGCTTGTGTAGGGTGCTGGACTTGCTTTCACTCTTAACAAAAATCTAGTTTTCTTAATGCAGAAGATTGCTGAGGATTGGTTGGCTGATAAAATTAGAGTTGTAAAGTTGGCAAGCTGCATTGGCATTCCATGGTTTCTCCCCAGAAATGCCAAGCTCCTTTTAGTCTTTCATGACATCAACTGGACGATGACCTCTGTCCGCAAAAGGTCCTCCTTGACCTGGTCAGGAGCAAATAGTGTACAAGTAACAAAGGTTTGAAAACTAAACCAACCTCCCCTGTCCCAGAATGTTCTGAGGTAATAATACCTTATTAGCATATTTCAGTCAAGTAAAGGAGTCATTACTGTCTTTGCTTTGCAGCCTTTTCTAGGCTAGGATAAGGAGGATAAGGAGATGTTGTAAGATGCAAGCAAAACACCAGGCACATCACTATTTCCTGATGTAAAATTTTAAATATTCTGGTGCTGTATGCCACATTTGTTAATATGGCAAACCAAATTTGGTGACAGACACCAGACTTTGTGAAAAAATAAAAACAGTAAAAAAAATTGTAAGCAGGAAGTTAGAGTGGAAAAATGAACAGAAAAGTGTGTGTGTGTGAGAGAGAGAGAGAGAGAGAGAGCGAGCTCAGACACTTGAACACACATTATGCTATTCAGAAAAGACATTTGAGGTTCAAAATGCAGCTTTGAAAAATAGTCGGCACAGCAGTGATACGATCTTGTTTTCATCCTGTCCTGAATTCCAGAATTGCAGACTCCTGTAGAGTAGATGCCAGTAGAAATTTAGAATAATTAACAACTTCTAGAGATCTGATCAGGATCAGGCTAGTGTTCCCCTTGCTGAGCTCAAGAAACGATATCTGTATTGAATTGTGCAGCAATCTTTGTTATTGACCAGAGTTTCCAATTGTCTTTTCTATTATGGAGCATCAGCCTGCCCCTTACATTCAACCTCCTTCCAGGTCTGTCAATGTCATAGAATTTACGAGGATTTAAAAAAATTTTTTTTTTGTTTTTTCTTTTTTCTTTAGTGTAACTGGTTTATTTAGTGTAAAACTTGACCATTGTTCGTGTTTTACTTTTTGTTTTCATCACAGCATATTCCCATCTTTAACTGACTGACAAAATAGGGCCTCTGTTGTGCAGATTGACTGCTTTTCACATCTGTTTTCTCCTAGATATGTCTCTAATATTGAGCCATTACTTCCAAAAAGCAAAATTGTCATTTTCCTTTTCTTCATCCACTATTTTCTTCAACCAATATTCAAATGCAGTAATTGTTTGATTCAACTGGGAAGTGTAGTCAGTTATAGGGTATAGAATATGACTACAGATGACTAGCAAGAATAGTTTAGAAAAATAATGATCCAAAATGGTGGATGTGAGACTTAATAGTACGTTATATGCTATACAAGTGCAAATATGCTGAACAATACATAACTGGCATATTTTTGTGGATGGGAGAGAGATTTACAGGCCCCAGGGTAGAAGTGACCTCCTCTCCAGAATACAAGACTGTGCTATTACATTGGCTAATATCTTCCACACACCATATGCAATTAATGTAAATGAAAATTGGGCTTGTAATCAGTAAGATTT